GCCCAAGTGACCAGCATTTCTGCCCTGGCACTGTCCAGTCCCTGCAGCTAGAACACACCCTTTTTGAAGCACAAATCTGGTCATGTCCCTTCCATCTCCTCCCAGGGCTCCAGGTGAGGAGTTTGGCCCTGCTGGCCCCACTGTCTCCACTGACTCCTGGGGACAGAACCTTTTGGACTTTCTCTGCCCCCAGCCATGTCACCTGCATGTCATGCTTCTCCCAACCCCACACCTCTGCCTTCGTTGTCTCTCCTCCTGCCAAGTTCCGGCTACCCCTGTCCCTGCTCGTTCATTCCTTCAGAGCCCAGCTCGAGCCCTGCCTCCTTGGAACAGGCTAGTACCCCAGGATGGGCACCCACGGCGGCCAACACCTTGTTGCCACCCTGGCCCGGCAGCTGCGCAGCATTTTCTCATAGAACATGGGACTAGCAGCTGCCTCCTTTGCTGCCTGCTCCAGGAGGAGGAGCTGCATCCCCAGGGCCCTGTGGGGGCCTCGCACAGATGGGGTGAATGGGTGACCCCACCCTGGCCAGGCTGACTCTCCCTCCCGCCTACCTCATGGCTTCTGTGCCCAGTGGGACCCCCTCTGTCCTGTGGGTGAGCAGAGGCTGGGGGCTGGCTGCTGGGTCCCTCCAGGGGTTGTAGGCAGTGTGGGCGTGGGGGTCTCCTGATGGACCGATGGGGCCAGATGGGTCTGGGAGAGCCAGCCCTGGAGGCCCTCAACCCCGGGCCCCCAGCTCACCTTGACCTCATCTGTGATCATCATGGCGTCTTGGGACATGACCGTCATATCCGACAGCTCAGAGCAGTAGCTGGTCACAAGATTCTGCAGCTTGTCCAGCTCTGTGGGGTATACCACCAGCACCTGTGAGGGCAAGGGCAGGTGGGCACAGGGGCCACAGGCAGCTCGAGTGCGTCCCCTCCACGATGGCTTCTGGGCTACGGCCCCAGCCCCCAGCCGGGCACCGAGCAGGTGAAAGGAAGTGTTTCGGGAGGGGCAGACAGCCGTGGCCTGGTGGACTCTTCTGCGGCCCAGAGACACTGAAAAAGGTAGTGAGTGAGATGTTCTGCCCAGGAAAGGCTGGCTGAAACCCAGGGAGGCACTCTGCTTGGGAACAGCTTTCGTCTGAAGTGAAGCCAAGGGTCAGAGTCAGGGCTCAGGCCAAGGCTGCTTCAGACTAGATAACTGTGTGAAGTTGGGAAAGTTACTTAACCTCTCCGGGTGTCCCTATCTGTAAAAGGTGATAGATAATGGCTCTTTCAGAAGGTTGTTGTCAGGATCAATTGAGAATGTAAAATTAAGTATTTAGCCCAGACCTGCTGCATAAAGGTCCAAGATAGCTTTGCTATTAGTATTTTGGTTTTAATGACTATAAATGTCGAATTTTTGTCAGTTTTTAAAAAACATGGAAGACTACGGGAATTTTTTTTTTTTTTTGAGTGTGTATATTCTAAAAAGAAGAGGAGGCTGGGTACAGTGGCTCAAACCTGTAATCTTAGCATTTTGGGAGGCCGAGGCAAAAGGATTGCTTGAATGAGGCCAGGAGTTTGAGACCAATCTGAGTAACATAGCAAGACCTTGTCTCTACAAAAATAAAAACAAAAATTAGCCAGGGGCGGTGGTGTCACCTGTATTCCCAGCTACTGGGGAAGCTGAGGCAGGAAGATTACTTGAGCCCAGGAGTTCGAAGCTGCAGTGAGCTATGATTGACACCACTGCACTCCAGCCTGGGTGACAGAGTGAGACCCTATCTCTAAAAAATAAATTTAGGCTGGGTGTGGTGGCTCACACCTGTAATCCTAGCACTCTGGGAGGTTGAGGAGGGTGGATCGTTTGAGCTCAGGAGTTTGAGACCAGCCTGAGGAAGAGTGAGACCCTGTCTCTACTAAAAAAATAGAAAGAAATTAGCTGGACAACTAAAAAAAAAAAAAAATATATATATATATATATATATATATATATATATATTTAGCTGGGTGTGGTGGTGCATGTCTGTAGTCCCAGCTACTTGGGAGGCTGAGGCAAAAGGATAGCTTGAGCCCAGGAGTTGGAGGTTGCTGTGAGCTAGGCTGATGCCACAGCACTCTAGCCCGGACAACAGAGCGAGACTCTGTCTCAAAATAAATAAATAATAAAATAAATTTTAAAAAGTAAGAAGAAGGTGCTACCAGGGGGACATAAAGCACCCAGGTGTAGGTGGGGTGTGGGAGGGGTAGGCCAGGAAGGAAAGGTGGGTAAGGCCTCCAGGTGAGACCCCAGGACCAGGGGCTGAGGCAAGAGGGACAGGCAGTAGGAGGAGGGACAGCAGGGACAGGACTGGAGGGGCAGGACCCCAGCAGGAAACAGCTGCAGTGCCCCAGCCATCCTCACCCCCACACACACTGCACTTCCACCATGTGGCTGTGCCACACACCACCCTCCAGGCTCCCCTTTGCCCAGCTGTAGGGGGAGGGTGTCTGGGGGGCTCCCCTACCACTTCCCAGGCTCTCTGCTCCTGCAGCCCCTCTCTCTCCCTGCCCCATCCCTGCTGCTCTTCTCAGCACTGTCCCCCAGCCCCTCCTGTCTTCCTCCTACTCCTCATCTACTGTCCACAGGCCTGTGCTCTGCTTCGTGGGAGGCCGAGGGGCAGGGCTGGCGGTGGGGCTGGCTCGAGTGGGGAGCAGACCCTTCCACGTGCAGAAGGCGCCCTGCCTTGTAATATATTAGGGGGCCCAGGCAATGAAAAAGTACAAAGGAGCCCAAACCATTTAAAAAGTACAAGCAAGTCCAAGGGGTTCTGATGCGCCCACGACGTGCTTTTCTGGATTAGCAAACGGTCAAGTTTGTAAAGGAGTGTCCCGCTTAGCTGGTTCCCAAAGCAGGACTCGGTCTTCCTGCGGGCCCTGGGGGAGCGGCGGGTGCCAGCCCTGGCCCTGCCCCTCCGGGCCGCCCTCTACTGGTGGGGGGCTCACTTGCTTCAGGTAGTCCAGCAGGTCCACGTACAGCAGCTGCACGTGCTGGCTCGTGGTGATCTTGATCACTGTCTTTTCGATGTTGTTCTCCAGCTGGCGAATGACCTGGCGGCGGACCGCGGGCACCTCGAGAGTGCGCGGGGACTGGCAACCGGGGGCCCAGGGGCCCGCCCCAGGGCGTCGGGCTGGGCTTTTTCCGGGGGTGGGGGGTGGGGAGGGGTGCTTGCCTCACGCCGCCCCTTCCTCCCGCTAGCCCCGCCCCCGCTGCGGCCCCGCCCCCAGAGACTCGCCCTCCCCGGGGCCCCGCCCTCCCCGGGGCCTGGCGCCCGGCCACCTGCAGCAGCTGCTGCTCCTCCTTGCTGCCGTCCGGGTAGCTGTTCAGGCCTGCCAGCTCCAGCTGCATGTTCTCCAGCTTCTGCCCGCGCCGCCGCACCAGGTGGATCAGCACGTTGTGCACGTTCACGCGGTCGAAGACGTACTTGCGCAGCCTCTCCCGCGCCACCTGCTCGGGAGGGCACGATCCGCGCGTGGGTGCGGGGTAAGGGGCGCCGCAGAGTGCCAGGAGCCGGCAGGGGAGGGACACGTCCGTGGCCACCCCGCAGGGACGCAGGGCCGGGGCTGGGCATCCCAGCTCTGTGGTAGAGTAGGTGAGGAGGGCCCAGGACTCCCTAGCTGGCCAGAGAGCCAGAGGGGCCCCGCTGCAGGAGGTGGATTGCTCTGCCCTCGCGGGCTTAGCGGGGCGCGCAGGCAGGGTGTCGGGGTGGGGTGGAGGTCCTTCAGAGGGCCGCCCCTGCCCCTGCCCCGTTACCTCCACGGTGCTGCGGCAGTGCGCCAGCCTCAAGAGCGTGTCTTTCCCGCAGGCCCTGGACACGGTCCACTGGTCGCACTGTGGAGGGCGGTGGCTGAGTCGGAGCGCCCCTGCGGGAACCCCCAGCCGCAGCCCCGCAGGCGTCCTCCTCAGGGCCCCGTCAGGCCCTGCTGCGGGCCCTACCGGCATCCCAGCTCTGTGGTAGAGTAGGTGAGGAGGGCCCGGGACTCCCTAGCTGGCCAGAGAGCCAGAGGGGCCCCGCTGCAGGACGTGGACCCGGAGGTGGCACCCTCACGGGGTGCGTGGGGAGGAACCTGCGGCCACGCTGCTGGGCTGACTGGAGCCCCTTCCGGGATGCACCCCGGCTCCAGAAAGATTGGCAGGGGCCCCCTCACGCCCAGGCAGCTGGGAGGGGTGGGGCTCGTGCACCTTCTTGGCCAAAGCCCAGTCATGGATCCCGCGGCGGATGTTGCCACGCAGGAGGGTTATCGTGGCCTTGTTCTGGGCTGACTTCTCTTTCATGCCCTGGATCTGGAGCGTCCGACATTGCTCTGCGGGCAGAGGGGACAGGGTGGCCAGGATGTAGGCTAGGGCCCCCCGCCCCCCAGCCCGGAATCCCCCAGGGAGGGGCTGGCATCAGGGCTCTGTCCTCCCATCCTGGCCCTGGGGACAAGGCTCCACTGCTTATCTGAGAGGCTCTCAGTGGCCAGGGTGTGGCAGTGGGGAGGCTGAGGCCAAGGACAGGGGTGAGGTGTCGGTGTCCTGTGGTCCTTCCAGAGCTGCTGCCCACAGAGGCAGGTGGGTTCCTTCTGGCTTTGGGGCCCATTTGCTTGTATGCCCACGAATCTCCTTGAAACACACCCCCCCCCCATGGGAGGTCCCTTTGATCCCTCCCCCAGGCCTCGTTAGGAGTGGGCAATAGAGTGTCTGCTTGCCCTTCCACCTCCTGGTGTTAAAACTGAAAGTTCTGCTCCCAGAACCCCAACCACAGGTGGGCCAGGGCAGCTGGTCGGCCTACCCTGGAGTCGAGTGATGGTCCTCAGCTCCTGCGTCTGCTCCTCCACATCTGCCTCGCTGAGGCTCTTCATGGTGGCCCTCATGGTCCCCCAGGGACCCTGTGCACCTCCCACGTTCCTCCGCCTTGGCCTGCTCAACAGAGTTGAGGTCCAGGGGGTCCCCCAGAATCCCAGCCCATTGTGACGGGGGCCAGGTTCTCGATGCCCAGGTAACCCTGGAATTGCCGGCCCTCCCTGCCCCACCCTCTTGTCCTAATTTAGATGAGTCTTGTGGAGGCTGGCCGTGGCTCAGGAGCTGTGTTGGGGCTGGGGTGCCTCTTTCCTTGGGCAGGTGATGTGTGATGGGTTGGCACAGCACCCCATGCCACACCCGTGCCCCCGGGGCTGCCCTGCGCAAAGCTGGGTTGTGCCTCCTGCAACTGCCACTGCTTCACAGCATCTCTGCTCCCCACCACTTCCCCAAGTTCAAACGCCATGCCCTGAGTGACCTGGCTCACCAGACCCCAAGCCGAATCCCTCACCACCTCACCACCTCCCACTTCCCTCCCTGACATTTGCTGCTCTGCCCCTACTTCCCTCTGGGAACTCCTGGGTCTTCTGGTGCAGGTGCCATTCACCCCAGGAGGGGTGAGGTCCGTGCCGGTCTCTGCAGCCCCCCACCTTCCCTTCGAGTGAATGGCGTGCCCAGAACACCCAACAGCCTGAGACTCCATGGGGTACACACGCATTGGGCTACTTTCCCCCCAGCCTTGCTGTGTTGATTTGCTGTGGCCACCATGACAAAGCACCATGGATTGGAGGCTCAAACAACAGACATTTATTTTCCCACAGTTCTGCAGGCTGGAAGTCGGACATCAAGGTGTGGGCAGGGCTGGTTCCTCCTGAGGCCTCCACCTTGGTCTGCAGATGGGTGTCTTCTCCCTGTGTCCCCCCATGGCTGTCCCTCTGTGCACGTCCCTGTTCTCATCTCCACTTCTTAGGACACCTGTCGCGTTGGATTAGGGCCTACCTGCATGGACTCATTTTAACCTTAATTACACCGTTAAGACCCTGTCTCCAAACACGGTGACATGCTGAGGTCCTGGGGGCTAGGGCTCCAAAGCAGTAACTGTGGGGCACAATTCAGCCCCTAACAAAGGGCCCACCGTCCTCTGTGACCTCTCACACGGATCCCTTATGTTTCTGGTCACTGTCTGCTTTTAGAAGGCCAGTCCAGGCTAAAACTCCACGTTCACCCCTGCCCTCCTCCCAGCCCAGGCCTTGCCCTCAGGGGCTGGCAGCACCTGCCAGAGGTGTGGTCCGCTCACTTCCCCTGGTTCTAGGGGGCCCGGATTGGTGTCCTGCTGAGGCAGAGCCCACCCGCGGTCCCCGAGTTTGGGCTCTCCCTTCTTCCTCAGATCAAGAAGCCCAAGTCTCGGTGGGGCAGTCGCCCTTCCTGGGCACCTTGGTGCTCGATGGACACATGACTTGGCTCTGGCGAAGTGTGTGAGCAGAAGTGGCCGGTGAGCGCCCTCCTCCCCCTCTCTCCTTCCTGCTAAATGGGATAAAGACACGATGGCTGAGGCTGGTGCAGCTGCTTGAGACCCGAGGCGAGCAAGGGAGGCGCTCTGAGAATGGAGGTCACCACAGCAGGGTCTAACTCAAGGGACAGAGCTGGGGGCCCGGCTCCCTGCTGAGCCTCACCCACCCACCGGCACTTTTACATGAACGAAAAAATAAAAGCTCTAGCTTGCTTAAGCCCCCTTCTTGGGCTTTCTGTCACTTTGTCCTCCTGCCTACTCGGAGGGTGCGCCAGGTACTCTGTAACATCCTTTCAAGCGACCAGTCAGGCCCAGGTGAGGCTAAGCGGGGCTGGAGCGCACAGCCCTGCGCGGCCTTGCTTGTCACCGGGCGTCCAGTGTCCAACGACGGACTCGCCAAGGCTTGGAGCCTCTCCGCCTCCTTCCGGGCCGGGTGCCCAGGGAGGACAGCACCCCAACTGCCAGCTAGGTGGGGAGGGCCGGGGGCGGTTCCACCTGACCGGTGGGTGCGGAACCATCGGCAGCTGGCCCTGCCCGCGCCCCTTGTGCTCTGCACCTGCGCAAGTGGGACCGACTCAGACCCCTGCCCCCACCTCCCACCCTTGGCCTCAGGCCTTGGTGGTCTCACACGGCCTGCAGGGCTGGGAGGAGGGTCTAATCCTGGGCTCAGCGTTAGGAACATCCTCAGTGTGTAGTTGGTACGTTACCCTCACATGTGGCTGTGGCCACGAAGGTGACCTTTGATCTCCCTTCTCACCTCTTTGTTTCTCAGTTTAGAGCTCAGGTGGGGGAAAGGGACAAGTCATTTATTAGCCCTCCTATCCCAGCACCAATTGTTACCCTGGGCTCGTGAGGGTGCAGGGCCAGGATGGGGGCGCTACAGCACCAGAGAGGGCGAGCAAGTCCTTCCACCCGCGCCCCAGACAGGCGTGTGCTCACGGTGCCCACCCTGGTTCCTGCTGCCCCAGAGCAGCGCTGTTACGCCACCTGGGCAGAACTCTTCTGATCCCCACTCCGGGGCAGGTGCCAGGCTGGGGCAGGGACAGTGCACACAGGTTTGTCCGGCCTGGCCATGCACACGTGCAGAGGACACGGCTGGGGCACCCCAGGGTATGGGGAGGGCCAGCCTGGGGTTGGGGGGCACTGAGGGCCATGTTCCAGGATGCCCCCTGCCCAGGTCCCCCGTGCACGGCCGGAGCTCTCCTAGCTGCGTTGATCTGTAGGAGACAAGGGGAGACGGCTAGAACCACATCCACTGCCGCTCTGAGCACCCGCGTTATCATGGCAAAACCCGAGTCCCGTAAGGAGGTCGGGAGGCAGTGGAGGCCAGGCCTGAGATCAACTGGCGTGGTGCTCCATAAGGGGTGTCTCAGTCCAGCCACTCCCTGTGGGGCCCATGTGGCTGCGGTGGCACCCACACTCCTCCCCTGCCTCTCAGGGCACCTCATCCTTCCTGGTCTCCTCCTGAGAAGGGGGCCCTCCAAGGGCACGCTGTGCCTGCCTGCCCGCAAGGTCAGCCGTCCAGGACGCACAGGCCTGGCAGAGGGGCCCTGTCCAGCCTACCGCTTGAGGTCCCGGGTTGGCCTGCCTGAAAGTCTGGGCAGCAGAGCCTCGGTTTCCACTCCACGCTGCCCCCCCCGCCCCGCCCCTGCCCAGGTCCCACCCTCCAGGCCCTGCCTGGGGTTGGGGGGGACTGAAGGCCATGCTCACCTGTGCTCACGTCTTTGGGGAGCTTCCCTGTCTCGAGGAAGAGCCAGAGGTCGCTGCATTTCCGCGACTCCACCCTTGTCACCCCGTAGCTGGCCACGGAGCCTGCGACTGAAGACAAGGAAGGGGCAGGGCAGCGGGCTGGGCCTGGGCGTGAGGGAACTGGCGCAGGCCCCGGCGGAGATGCTGGGTGGGCTTGGGCAGGGCTCCTCGCCGGGGGCGGTGGCAGCACCACAGCTCCCACCCCTAGTGGAAGCCCACCCGTGCCGAGGAGCCGGAGCACCAACCCTGGGGCGCAGACCCTGAGTACCCACCCACGGCCACCAGCAGGCTCCACTGGAAAGGGTACGGACACCGCCTCTGGAGGAACATCTGCAGGCCGAGGGTCGCACCGGTGCCTGCCAGGAGCCGAGGTCCCCATCAGTCAGCCTGTACGCGGGGGCTGGCCGGGGGCCCACCTGGCGCGGCCTGAGAGGCACCTGCCAGGCCCCAGCACCCAGGGCAGGTGACTTGGCGCCACCTGCTGGCGCGTCGGGGTGAGACAGGAGGCGAGCTCTCCCACGCCCGGGTCAGCCTACCTGTGACGAAGGTGCAGACGCCCTTCACGAAGGCGCTCGACTGGCACGCGGCATACTCCCCGAGTCCCTGCAGGGGGCGGGGGAGGAAGGCTCCGTTCCAGCTCGCCTCCCTCGCCGCCCCTCCTGGCCGGGCTGCGCGGAGACCGGGGCCTGGGCCCAACTCGCCGCCCCCAGGCCGCCCGGGCCCCCGCAGCCCTTGCCGGTCCCCTGCCCCGCTCGGGTCAGAGTGAGGTCTGGGCCCACGTCCCATCCCGGCCTTCTCACCGGGTGCTTGGCGGCCACAGCGTCGTCTACTCGGGACAGGCCCAGGTTCACCATGGTTGGCCCGGCTTGGGGCGGGGCCCGCGCAGCCGCCGGCTGAGAGCGCAGGGGCCTGGGGCGGGGCCTGGGCAGGGGCGGGGCGGGGCCTGGGCAGGGGCGGGGCGGGGCCTGAGCAGAGGGCGGGGGAAGAGGTGGGGCGGGGCCTGGAAGGCGGGGTCTGCACAGGAGCAGGCAGAGACCGCGGGTCTGGAGAGGGGCCTGGAGGGCGGGGCCTGGAGGGCGGGGCCTGGGCAGAGGCGGGGCGGGGACTAGGGGCGGGGTCTGAGCAGAGAGGGGGGAGAGAGGTGGGACAGGGCTTGGAGGGCGGGGTCTGCAAGGAGCAGGCGGAGACCACGGGTCTAGGAGAGGCGCCTGGAGGGCGGGGCCTGGGCAGGGCGGGGCGGTGTCTAGGGGGCGGGGCCTAAGGCGGGCCTGCGCAGGAGCGGGCAGAGAGCCCCGGGTCTATTGCCGGGCCTAGGGGCGGGGCCTGATCAGGGGCGGGGCCTGGAGGGCGGGACCTGCTCAGGAGCAGGCAGAGAGCTTGGGGCCCAGAAGGCAGGGCCTGGAGGGCTGGACCTGGGCAGGGGCGGGGCCTGGAGGGCGGGGCCTGAGGCAGCCCGGCGCAGAGGGCGGGGAGAGAGGCTGGGCGGGGCGGGGCCTGCACTGCCGGCCCTGCGCCGGCGGCGCCCTCTCAGAGCAGTGGATGCGGGACCTTGGGCGCCGACTCTGCTGCACACTCTTGCTCTGTTGCCCAGGCTGGAATGCAGTGACGCAATCATAGCTCACTGCAGCCTGGAACTCCTGGACTCAAGCGATCCTCCCATCTCAGCCTCCTGAATAGCTGGGACTCCAGGTACATGCCACAACGCCCAGCTAATTTTTAAAATTTAAAATTTTAATTGTAGAGACGGAGTCTTGCTATGTTGCCTAAGCTGATCTCGAATTCCTGGCCTCAAGAGATCCTCCCCCATTAGCCTTCCAAAGTGCTGGGGTTACAGTGTGAGCCACCACACCTTGGCCTTTTTTACCTTAACGACCTCTTTGAAGGCCCTGTCTCCAAATATTAATACAATCATATTCTGAGGCCCAGGGTGTCTTCCTCTAAGATGGGTGAGGGGACCGTCTCTAGCGGCCCCGGACTCCCTGATATTTAGTGGGCCCCTCTTCCAACCCCTAGAACGGGGATCCCCCCGTGGAGAATCTGTGTCCCCAAGAGGTGTCCAGTGAGTGCGGGCGGGGGCAGGAAAGTCCAGGATGTGGTCTGTCTTGGAGAGACCCCCTTCCCTGCATTTTCCACATCCCAGCCTGACCGGTCCGGAGTGCTCCCACGTGGTCCTGCAGGCTCAGCTGGGCTCCGAGGCCGAGGCCGCAGCTCACGCTCCTGGGGCAGCCCCTGGAGGAGCCCTGTAGGAGGCCGGACCAGCCCCTGCCCGAAGAGTCCTGCTCGGAGGGTGTGTCTGTAGCCGGGTGGAGGCTGGGCAGGGAGGGTGCTGGCCCTGACTGAGGTCCACCTGCTCCTTTGTCCCCAAGGGAACTGAGAGGGAAACAAAGTCAGCCGTTGCCCAGCAGTGACGTCTGCCTGGTGCCCGCCAACTGGAGCCTGGAGCCCGCCAACTGGAGCCTGGAGCCGTCTCCGAGGCTCAGAAAGAGTCCCGCTCAGCCTGGGAGCCACAATGTCCCTGGAAGGGAGGCGCGTAGGGGGACAGGTCAGGTCACACCTGGCTCGCAACACCTGCTGAGCGCATACTATGGACCCAGACCGTCCGGGCCAATCAGCACACAGCATGAGTCTAGCTCTCTCAGCCAATCAACTTGAGCCTTGGACAGCTTCCAGCCAATTAGAGCAAAGCACAGGCAGCTCTTCTCAGCCAATCAGTGCAGGGTGCCAGCCCCGCCCACGGTGGAGGCTTAGCTGGTCTGAACTGGAGCAAGAAGCCGGCGGGGGCCTGGGCCCCGGGCATCGCAGGGCTCAGGGGAATGCAGGGGGCTCAGGGGTTACTGGGAGAGGGGAGCTGGGGGAACCGGGGGCGCAGGCATTATGGGGGAGCAGGGGTTACCAGAGGATGCAGGGGGAACTGGGGGGGTGGGGGAACCAGGGGCGCAGGGGTTACCAGAGGATGCAGGGGGAACTGGGAGGGGGGAACCGGGGGTGCAGGGGTTACCAGGGGGCACAGGGGCTACTTGAGGGTGCAGGGGGTACCCAGGGTAAACAGGGGCTCAAAGGGCACCCTGGGGCGCAGGGGCACCTCTTTTCCCCTGAGATTGTCTCTGCCATTCTCAGAGCACCTCAGCTTCTGTCCTCTGCAAGGTGGGATGGTGGTTGTCAGCAAATTTTATTTCTAACAGCTTTACTGAGATTTTTTTCGCGGACCACAGAGTTTCGACTCAGTGGTTTTTAGTACATCAGCAGAGTTTTGCAGCCATACTATTAACTCTAGGACATTTTCATGACCCCAAAGAGAGACCCCCCATCCACTAACAATCACTGCCTGTGCCTCTCCCAGCCCGGTAAGCACCCATCTACTCCCGCCTCCGGATTTGCCTGTTCCTGACATTCCGTGAGAAGTGAATCATAAGACATGGGTCTGGCTTCTTTCGCTGAGCATAACGTTTTCAGGGTTCCCCCACTCATTGGGTGAGCCAGCCTCCTTCCCTTCCAGTGCAAGGTTAGACCACACTCTACCTGCCTGCCTGTGGGTCCTGCCGGCGCCCTCCGCTCTGACCCGTCCCCGTGGCCATGGTGGGCACCGCACCTGCCGGCTCCTCTAGCAGGTCCAGGGGCTTCACAGTTGCAGGTCTGACTCCTGCCCTAAGGACGCTTGTCCACCTGGCCCCACATGCACCTCTGGGACGCTGCCCACCGGGTATCCCGGGCGTGCCAGCATGCACGGGGAGCCCGGCAGACAGGACGCTGGGCCCTGGCAGCCTAGCCTGTGCTGGACCTCAGGGTGGGGGCTGGGGACTGAGGCAGCCTCCTGCTGGGCATGTGCTGCTGCTGCCAAGCCATCTGGCTGCAAATGCTGCCGTGAGCTGCAGATCCCAGGCTTCAGTGAGCTGCAGGCCAACCTAGCCTCACTCACGGGCACAGGTACACCGAGCACCTGCTTTCTAACTCGGGGCCCCTGTAGGCGCTGGGGACATCGGAGTGAACACCCCAAGCGAGGATGCTGTTCTAGGCAGTTTACAATGTGCACGTGTGGGGAGCAGGCACTGCCCAAACACGGGAGGCCACATGCATTGGGCCCAGTGCCAGCGAGGGAGGAGGGAGACGAGGAGCCCGGAGAGCTGGGAGTGCAGGGTGGGAGGGAGGGGTAGGAGGGTGCAGGGTGGGAGGGAGGGGTAGGAGGGTGCAGAGTGGGGCTGGGGCAGACCCAGGAAGATTTTAAGCAGGATGCATTGGATTTATGCTTCATAAGATTTGCTCAGGGCCGGGCGCGGTGGCTCACACCTGTAATCCTAGCACTCTGGGAGGCTGAGGCGGGAGGATCGTTCTAGGTCAGGAGTTTGAGACCAGCCTGAGTAAGAGCGAGACCCCCGTCTCTACTAAAATAGGAAGAAATTAATGGGCCAACTAAAAACATATATACATAAAAAATTAGCCAGGCGTGGTGGCACATGCCTGTAGTCCCAGCTACTCAGGAGGCTGGGGCAGGAGGATCGCTTGAGCCTAGGAGTTTGGGGTTGCTGTGAGCTAGGCTGATGCCACGGCACTCACTCTAGCCTGGGCAACAAAGTGAGACTCTGTCTCAAAAGAAAAAAAAAAAAAGAAAAGATTTGCTCTGGCCACTGAGTGGAGAATGGCCTTTGAAGAACAGGGGTGGGAGGAGTGGGGAGGCCAGGGAGGAGATGGTGGTCGAGGGGGGTGGGTGCAGTTTCCCCTGGGCAGGAGGCCGCCCTGCACCTCTCATCGCCAGCACATGCTGAGGGGTCTGCGGGCCAGTCTGTCCCTCTGTCCTTGCTGATCCAGAGCTCTCTCTCCAGAAGCTTCGCTCTCTGTCCAGTAGTCCTGTCATTGGAGGTCATGGCTTTTGTCATACCCCCCCCTCCCCCAGCTCTGCAGCTCTGGGCATTGCAGGAGCTGCAGGACATGTGACGTGGTCCTGGGCTTGGCCCTGCGCTCAGCTCCACGGGCTCACCTGAGTCATCTGCTGTCATCCTTGGGGTGCACCTCGTGGGTTTGGGCTAATGCTCCTTCGGGCCTCCCTGCTCCTAAATCCAGGTGGTGGCATTTCTAGGGAAGATTTTTCATACACACACACACACACACACACACACACACACGCACACGCACACACACACGGAAAGAGAGACAGCACACTTATATACCTGCTTTTTAAAATTGAGGTATGATTTATATACAGTAGAAGTCACCCTTTTTGGTGTTAACTGGAAAAAAAAATGAGGTTTATAATTTGGAAAAGGAAATCTTTGTTTCTTATAAAGGTTATCAGCCCGAGGTGGCCGTTCCAGCAGCCTGGGAAACAGGGCTCCCGGACACAAGCCAGGAACAGGTGCTTTAAGGCAGGGACAAAGGGAACAGGACTTTATTTTTTATTTACTTATTTTTTGAGACAGAGTCTCACTGTGTTGCCTGGGCTAGAGTGCCATGGCGTCAGCCTAGCTCACAGCAACCTCAAACTCCTGGGCTCAAGCGATCCTCCTGCCTCAGCCTCCCGAGTCGCTGGGACTACAGGCATGCGCCACCATGCCTGGCTCATTTTTTTAAATATATTTTGTTGGTCAATTAATTTCTTTCTATTTTTAGTAGAGACGGGGTCTTGCTCTTGCTCAGGCTGGTTTTGAACTCCTGACCTTGAGCAATCCTCCCACCTCGCCCTCCCAGAGTGCTTAGGATTACAGGTGTGAGCCACCGCGCCCGGCAGGGAACAGGACTTTATACTGAGCAGGGTGGCTATACGCATATGCAACAAGCTATCGGAGGAGTCCTGAGTATTTGTGGAAGGGGAGCCAGGTGCCTGCACAGTGGGGCTTTCTGTTCTTTTGAGGTCCGTGTTACAAACGGCCCCTCTATGTCAAAAATGTGAAACAAGGACACGGACACCCTGTCTGCCAAGTTGCATAGACCATGATAACCACTCTGTGCTTAGTGGTCTTTTATCAGGAGGGAGTGCCGGTCTGGCCCTTAGGGACTAAAGTCTGGTGGCTTTAGCAAGACAGGGTGACAATGGTGTGCTCGACCTCCCCTCCCATCACTGCTGGGAACTTAGTTCTGAGGTTTAGCCGGCGTCCTCTAGGCCGAGGGGGTCTGTTCCGTCAGCAGGGAGGCTTAGGATTTTATTTTTTTTTTGAGACAGAGTCTCACTGTGCTGCCTGGGCTAGAGTGCCCTGGTGTCAGCCTAACTCACAGCAGCCTCAAACTCCTGGGCTCAAGCAATCCTTCTGCCTCAGCCTCTCGAGTAGCTGGGACTACAGGCATGCGCCACCATGCCCGGCTAATTTTTTCTACATATTTTTATGTTGGCCAATTAATTTCTTTCTATTTTTAGTAGACACGGGGGTCTCGCTCTTGCTCAGGCTGGTTTCGAACTCCTGACCTTGAGCGATCCTCCCCCCCTCGGCCTCTCAGAGTGCTAGGACGGCAGGTGTGTGAACCACCTCGCCTGGCCGAGGCTTAGGATTTTATTTTTAGTTCCGAGGGTACAGTGGCGCACGTTTTGACAGCTGCAAACAGTCCCGGAACCCCTGCAGTCACAGCACAGGACAGCTCCGTCACCCCAAATCAATCTTCCTTGTAGCCCTTTGCCGCTAATCACTCCCGAACCCCCAGCCGCTGGAAACCACGGAGCAGCCTTCTGTGCCCGTGGTCTTGCCTGGTTCTGAGTGTCACACCAGAGGAGTCTCGGGTTGCAGAGTTTTCACACCGGCCGCAGCGCTGCACGTCTGAGCGCGGCCGTGGTGCCGTGTGGGTCAGCGGCCGGTTCCTTTATTCCGAGTGATATTCCAGGGCACGATGGACCACGGCTTGCTCATCCAGATGCCCACCGGGGGGCATTTGGTTGTTGTCCCGGGTTTTTAGTGACTGCGAATGAAGTCACTGTGACCGCCAGGGGCAGGTTTGGTGGGAACATGGTCTCATTTCTCTCGGGGAACGCCTGGGGGTGCCGTGTTGAACTGCACGGTGAGTGGATGTTTCGCCTCATGAGAATCTGCCGGCGCGCCTTCCAGGGAGTGGAACCACCCCGGTCTCCCCGAGCAGGCCCTGCCGCAGCTCAGCCACGGGCTCTTGGGACCCACGTTCTGACAGGTGCAGCCGCCGTGCCCTGAAATGGCTCCAGTTTACGTCTCCCTAATGACTAATGACGCTGAGCACCTTTTCTTCTGCTTATCCATGTAGATGTCTTCTTTGGTGAAAGGTCCTTTCAAATATTTTGCCTGCCTTTGGTTTTTAAATCGGCATGCTTGTTTTCTTTCTTTTTTTTTTTTTTAAAAAAAAACAGAGTCTCACTCTGTTGCCCGGGCTAGAGTGCCCTGGCGTCAGCCTAGCTCACAGCAACCTCAAACTCCTGGGCTCAAGCAATCCTCCTGCCTCAGCCTCCTGAGTAGCTGGGACTACAGGCATGCGCCACCAAGCCCGGCTAATTTTTTCTATATATTTTTAGTTGGCCAATTAATTTCTTTCTATTTTTAGTAGAGACGGGGTCTCGCTCTTGCTCAGGCTGGTTTTGAACTCCTGACCTTTAGCGATCCACCCGCCTCGGCCTCCCAGAGTGCTAGGATGACAGGCGTGAGCCACCGCACCCGGCCGGCATGCTTGTTTTCTTATCGCTGACTCTCGGGAGTTCTGCAAGCGTTTTGGACGGCATTGCACCTGGTGGCTCTCGGTGGCCTTGGCAGGGACCTGCCTGAGAACTGGCACCTCCTGAAGCCCGGGGTGTGGGCGGTGGCCAGGAGGAGCCCTCAGTTCCTTCCCCTCCCTCCCGGCTGGGCGGTGAAGGTCTGTCTCTGACCCTGTTCCTTCTTCCCCTCTGGAGGGCTGGCAGCGCTCTCCTCCCTGGGTGGTGGGCCCCGAGGCCACGTGCTGCACCCCGTCCAGTCTCCCGGGGTGCTCTGTGCGGACAGAGGTCACCGGAGAGACCTTCCCAGGCTCCAGCTTCCAGCAGCCCCCGGCGCCTCCTGGCGTCGCTCCCACCTGTACACTTACACAACCAGCGATAAGGCAGCGTCCGGTACCATAATCCTCCCTAAGCGCCAGCCCAGCCCCATCCTGTCCCAGGTGTGCCTGCTAGAGGCCCTGCTGCTGATGTGTTGGGGGCAGTGGGGTGTCGGGAGTGAGGGGTGCCCAGGCCTTTCTCACGGCTGTGCTAGCGCAGGCTCTGTCCAGAGGTCTGGCCAGGGGTGAGCCCACCCCTGTGTTGGGGATGAGAGGGAGTGAGGACTGCTAGGTGTTCAGGTCCCAGGTGGGGGCCTGCTGGCCAGAGCTGCACCCCAACTTTTCTCTGGGCCCCCGGCCCCAGCCAGGCCGGAGGGTGGACAGAGGTGCTTGAGGTGTCAACCTGGGAGAGCCTCAGCGGGGCACTGACCGCTCGGACCCTGAGGCCGGTCACCTGGTCAGGTGCCTGGCAGGTCTGGGAGACAAATCCTCAGGCTGTGTGCGTCAGGAGAGAGCCCGGCTGTCTGGAGCCCTCCAGGAAGTGACCCCTGGAGCTGGTGGAGCCACTCGGGCGATTGTGCCCAACAATGGACAAGGGCTGGAGCTGCCCAGCCTGCTCCGCGGGTGGGCCCAGGGGGTGGGCCGGGCTATAAAGCTGGGCCTGCTGGGGCCTGGGGACTCAGGGCACCAGGGGCCGGAGGGCAGCGTGGCCATGGAGTCCTTCCTGCTGAGCCTGGTCCTGGCCCTGCTCTGGGTGTCCACAGCCCAGGCTGAGGTCCTGGTGCAGCCCGACTTTGATGCCGAAAAGGTACCAGGGACCCCTGGGCTGTGCCTCAGGTGGGTGGGGCCGAGCCCTTGCTGCACGCGATAGACAGCCACGGTGGTGACAGAAACGGCCCCTCTCCTGGAGGGCTTGCCCTGCACATGCTGTGGAGCTGCTCTCCGTTTAGCCCCGAAGCCACCCTGCACCTGGGGTAATTCCTGGGCCCATCTCACAGTTGGGGGAACTGAGGCTCAGAGCTGGGCTGTGACCTGCCCGAGGCCAGTTCCTGCCCACGCTGGGCCAGAGGTGGACACTGAGACCGTGCGCTGTGTGACTGCAGGCAGGGCCCTGTTCCTCCGGGCCCCCGGGGGAAGGAGGGCCCTTGCCCGGGCTGCCCTGCCTGGCGGTCACGGAGCCGCCCACAGTTCTCAGGCCTCTGGTACGTGGTCTCCATGGTGTCCGACTGCAAAGTCTTCCTGGGCAAGAAGGGCCACCTGCGGATGTCCACCAGGGCCATCACGGCCACCGCGGGGGGCGGCCTTAGTGTCCACATGGAGTTCCCCAGGTGAGCCGCCCGGGCTGGCCGGCTGGGCTAGGGACCTGCTATGGGCTCGGCAGTGACGCGGGCCGTGCACCCCCAGGGCAGACGGCTGTAACCAGGTGGATGCTGAGTACCTGAAGGTGGGCTCCCCGGGGCATTTCAGAGTCCCAGGTAGGTCCTGCCCTACACAGCGCTGGGGCCCTGGACCCCTCTCTCCAGGGGTGACCGCTGGCCCTCTCCCCCTCTGCCCCCCACTGGCTCACAGCCCCGCAGGGCCGGGCGTGGGTGGGTGGGCGGGCGCTGGGCTCTGTCCAGTTCTCCACGGCCGCTGTCTCCTCCGCAGCCTTGGGCTACCTGGACGTGCGTGTGGTGGACACGGACTACAGCTCCTTCGCACTCATCTACATTTACAAGGAGCTGGAGGGGGCCCTCAGCACCATGGTGCAGCTCTACAGTGAGGCCCCGCCCCCACCGTCTGGACCCTGCCCAGGATTTGGGCAGCGTCTCCCTGGACACGCCCCATCCCCCCTGCCCCCGCCTCTTCACTCCCGAGTCTGGGCGTAGGGGTTGGGGTGGGACCCCACGGCTCTTTGGATGGGAAGGGGGTCGGCTGCAGGGGGTCCCTGAGGGCCAGACGCCGGCCTCCTGGGGGTGGTGGCGCGCCCTGCCCTGCTTGGCCTTGCTGCCTGAGTCCCTGAACTGGGGCTGAGGCTCTCTCCTTTAATTCCTGGGGCCCCCCAAGGTGGCGAGGGCTAGGTGAGGCTGGGGGCTGGCAGGAAGGATGCCAGTTGCCGAGAAGGATGCTTAAGGGGGCGTGGGGCCCAGCAGAACCTGGCCCAGAGCTGCCAGGGCACCCCAGCCCCCAGGGTGAATCGAGTGAATTGGGAGTCGTGTGACTCCAGCCAGGCAGGCGCTTTCGTGCGGTGGGCAACCTGCCTGGCCTCACCTGGGCGCCTTGCTGTCAGCACTCAGGGAAGTGGAGACTCCTCCCCCTGCCCTTTGCCCCTGCCACAGTCCCTGTGAGCTGCTGGGCTCACAGTGACCCCCGCTCCGCCCCAGGCAGGACCCAGGATGCCAGTCCCGAGGCGGTGAAGGCCTTGCGGGACTTCTACCCCACCGTGGGGCTGCCTGACGACATGATGGTCCTGCTGCCCAAGTCAGGTGCGTGGCCCAGCGCGGCCCCAGCCCGGAGCGAGGGGCGGCAGGTGGTCCTCTCTTCTAGGGGTGGGCTGGCTGCCCCTCCAGCCCCTCCAGCCCCACCATCCCCCACACAGACTAAGGGACAGGTCCCGGTGGCATGGTGGGGGGTCTTCACCGGGGAGTGGAGGGCAGCCCGGCCAGCTGGGCATGTCACCGCCGTCCTCCTTCCTGCAGACCTGTGCTCCCGCAAGGACAAGGAGGCGCCCTGACACCTCCGGACACCACCTCAGCCCTCCCCAGGTGGGGCAGGGCGACTCCCCGGGTTCTCTGGGCCCCGCAGGGCTGCCCGCCTCCCTGCCTCCCCTGCAGCTCGAGTTCTGCACGTGTAGACCCCCGAGGCCCCGGTTCTGCCTCTCCTGGGAAGCCCCCCTGGTGCCTTAGGGCTGCCACAACAAAGTCCCACAAACTGGGTGGCTTAGGACAACAGGAACTGTCCCCTCACAGCCCTGGGGGCCAGAAGTCCAAGTCCAGGTGTCCACAGGGCGAGGGCCTCTGGAGGCTCTTGGGGAGAGTCTGCCCCGGGCCACTCCAGCTTCTGGGGGTGCCGTGGTCCTGGCGCTTCTCGGCATGTACAGGCATCACCCCAATCTCTGCAGCCGTTGTCCCAGGGCCATCTTCCCTCCGAGGGCTGCGTCTGAATCTTCCTTGTGTTGTGTGGGCGCCAGGCTTTGCATTTGGGCTCACACTAAACCCAAGATGATCCCATCTCTAGATCCTTAGCTAACGGTATCTGAAAAGCCCCTATTTTCAAGCATGGTCCTATCTGGGGGTTCTAGGTGGACGTGAAGTTTTGACACTATTTGATTCACCACACCCTGTGTCCCCGGAGCCTGGGCCCCCTCCCAGGGCACGGACCCTGCTTTGGGGTTACTGGTCCTCAGTCTCCCCCTGAGGGCCGCGTGAGACAGACCCACAGCCTTGTCCTTCAGTGCCTGTCACAGGGCCCCAGACCCAGGTCCTGGGGGGACCCTCCCCCACACCAGGCACCAGGAAAACGCTGGGCGGCTCACCCAGGCTCATTGCCAAGAACGTGGCACCCCCGCAAAGCCGGGGATAAGAGCTGAGACTCCAAGGTCGCCCCCCCCAGCCTCTGGAGGGACCCTGCGAGGAGAGATGTTCCTGAGGTCCCCTTGGGGGTGGCGTGCCCTCAGCTTTGCAGCCTGCTCCCTGTCCTGGCACCCGCATTTCCTGTGTCTTTGCACTTGTCCATGAGCTTCGGGTCAGCGGCCGGCATCCTTCTCTCTGCTGGTTGCCGCAGGGACATCGGGGCTGCTGAGTCTCCCATGTCACACCTGCTAGTTTGGGACACAGGGGTGGGGGTGGGCGTCACTGCCAAGTCACCCCCCAGAAGGTTCTATTGGCAGAAAGTGTGAGCCCCCTCTTCCTGCCCCCGCCCTCCCCCTCCCCACCAATGTCTCAAGGGACCAGAGCGGCTGTGGGTTTTGTGGTTTGGTGGCCGTCCCGTGGCTTCCTTGCCACGCTGCCCTCTTCACCGAGGGCAGGGGCTGTCATCCCTGCCACTGAGCGAGGGAGGGACCCCCGAGGGCAGGCGGGGCAGCGGTGGGCAGGTGCGTCCAGGTTAACAGGCGTGGCAGGATCGCTCTCCCTGCCCATGGGGGCAGCAAGGGCCTCTGCGGGGCGCGGGTGGACGGAACAGCCATGCCTTCCCCTGCAGGTGGCCCCGGCAGCAGGCCTTGCCGCCCCAGGAGCCCAAACCCCCAGCTCTGGGGGGACCGACGTGGCCCCCTCCTCCGCCCGCCAGCCCTGCCCCCAGGGACCCTCCTCCTGCTCCTCAATAAACAGATTCTGCAGCCCGATGACCAACGGTTTCTTGCCTCTCTGGAGAGGCCCTGGGGGGGCCGCAGGGGGCCCCACGCCGACCCCAGCGCTCCTGGAGACTGAGGCAGGGGGCTGCAGCCCCAGGGGGAACCCCGTGCCCGGGCCCAGCCCCACAGGCTCACATGAAGACGGCCCTGTGGCTCCGCTGGCCAAGCACAGGCCTGGGGTCGGGCACCTGTGGGTTTTATCTCCCTCCGCTGGCGTGGCCGTGGGCGCTTCACTCAGGCCCCGGAAGTGGGCTCCTGGCCCCCGCTCCTTGGCCTGGGGCTCCCCAGGAGACACCCTGGGCACAGGTAGTGCCCCTGCCGAGCTCCCGGTTTCAGAGGTTGGGAAAGGGAGGCACAGGGAGGGGACTCACCCCATTTGACATGGCCAGCAAGCAGCCACGGGCTGGGGCTCCAGGGGCCCCTGAGACTGGGGCAGGGGAGTGGCCCTCCTTGGGGGCTGTGCCAGCTGTCCTCCTTGTCCCTGGCGCTGTGCCCTGGGGCCCTGATGGGAGCTCTGAGGCCCTGCGGTCTGGCACACACTTCACAGGGCGCATGGTGGGGTGGCAGGAAGGTGCTGGAGGTTCCGGTCCGATGCTCATGAGTGCCCCCGCCCGCGCAGGGCAGGGGCGGAAGCGGTCATCCCTGAGGCCGTCTGCCCTTACCCTGCCCCGGGTCGCCAGGGGCCTCCACCTCCCTCTTTTGCCTGGAGCCACCCTGGGGCCTGCTCCTCAGCCCCCCGGCTGTCCCCCAGGCGCTGCTCCTGCCCTCTGGGCATCCCTCTGGGCCTCCAGAGTGCCGGCCGGCTCTGGGTGGCCCGGCCCTGACTTGCCCCTGTGCTGCCTGACCGCCCGTCCGGGGTCCCAGCCCACCCGGGCGGCCTGGGGAGTGGGGTCTGGTGACGGGGACCGACCGCGTAGCTGGCCGGGCCTTGCTTGCGCCATTCCAGGTGGGCTTTTCCAGCCCCAGTGGTGGGATGGCTGCCCTCCTCCTCCACCCCCCGCCGGGGCCGGGTCGGGATGCTGGTCCGGGAGGAGCTGCCTCGGGCACCCTGGACCCCCTTGGCCACGTGGCACCTGCCCTGTGCTGGGAGCCGGAGCTCGGACCCCGGGGTGGCTGTGGCCCCCCTGGTGCCAGCACCGGAGCCTGCCACGCCCCCCAGCCCGCCGCAGGAGGGTGTCCCGGACGGGTGCTCTGCGCCACCCTTGGCCTCTTCCCCGTATTTGACGGCCCGGAAGGAGGGAGTGGGAACGGGAGGGGGAAGATAGATTTTTCCATGTTTTAGCTCATTTCTGGAGGGTGGGAGTTTTTTTGATTTTTATTTATTTTTTTAAGTATGCATCACAAATAAAGTTGTTTTTGAAGATAAAAATTGTCACTCAAAAAAAGAAATCGTCTCTGTGGCCCAGAGAAGCTGGACACAGGGGTCGGCCCCGAGGGTGCAGGGGGAGGGTCTGGGGGAGACGTCACGCAGGGCCCGTGCTTGTTTAATGCCTGCAGCTGCCGTGGCAAATGGGAAAACTGAGGCAGAGCGCTGTCTTGGGCCACACGGCCGGAGGCAGGAGCTGGGGCAGGTCTGGAAGCTGGGCTCCGTGTGTGCCCCGGCTCGTTCTGGTCCCCGGTGGGGCCCGTCAGTCACTGGGAGGAAGAGGCTCAGACCCCCGGGGAGAGGGGTGCGAGCCGAGACTGGGGTTGGGCCACCAAGCCCGATTTCTGTCCCCCCACCCCCGCCCCACAAGTCACACAGCCGTCCCTGCTGGTGCGGCTCAGAACATGCTGCTGCTGGGGGGGGGGGTCCGAGGCACAGACGGGGGGCGGGGTCCGAGGCACAGACGGGGGGCGGGGTCCGAGGCACAGACGGGGGGGGGGGTCCGAGGCACAGATGGGGGGGGGCTCAGGCCAGGCGCCCGAGGGATGGGCCCGGGTTCAAGTCCCCCCTCGTGCTTGTTGGCGGCAGGCCGTGGGCAGCGTGCTGCGGTCCCCAGACGACCAGAAAGAACCCACAGAGCCAGCAAGTGTCCCGGGGGGGGGGGAGAGCTCCAGCCTGGCGTGGGTGGGCTGCTCCTGTTCCCGGGCCCCGCCGGCCCCGCCACCGTGTCCACCCGCGTCCAGGCTCCAGGAAGGCGGCCGCGGCGGCTGCTGTGGGTGTGGAGCCGCCCGGCCGGATGGCATTGTGCAGAGTTACCAGGAGTCCCTGAGCAGCGGCAGCCCAGTCTGCCCCACGACAGTCCCCGGCGACCGCGCTCTCTCCCCAAATAAAAGCCCGGGCGCTGCAGGAGCGGAGCTGCCTGCGGGAGCCCAGACCCCGCCATGGAGCTGCTGCGCGCCGCCGTCCTGGGCGTCTTCCTGGTGCTCCAGGCACAGCCGGAGGCCGCCATGGAGGACCTGGACCGGGAGAAGGTGGCCTTTCCTTGTCAGCACGAAGGCAAACGCCGGGGGAGAGGGGCCGGGGGGCGGAGAGGGGCCGGGGGGCGGGGAGGGCCCCAGGGAGTGTCCGGCTGCTGCAGCCCTAACCCCAGCCCCACCCCCGCCGCCCGGTCTTGGACGCCCAGGAAGCCAGGCAGCGGAGGGCCCTGGTCGTGGGCTCCATGCCCGGCCGGGCTGGTCCCTCCTCTCCCGGGTGCCAGGGCCTGCCTGGGGGTCCTCTGCGGGCACAGGCTGGGCGGTCCTGGGGTTTTGCAGGGTGTGGGGGCTCCTCCTGCCTCCCTGGCTTGGCTCACTCTGGGAGCCAGAGGCCCTTCCCGGTGTGTTGGGGGGCTGGGTGGGGGCGCTGATGTCCGTCCGGTGCTTTCCGCCGTGTCCGTGCAGGCCGCTGGGCCGGGCACACCTGAGCAGGCCCGAGGTAACCCCCATTGGAGATGCAGATATATATTTTTTAAAGACAGAGTCTCACTGTGGTGCCCGGGCTAGAGTGCCGTGGTGTCAGCCTGGCTCACTGCAACCTCCACCTCCTGGGCTCAAGCGATCCTCCTGCCTCAGCCTCCCGAGTAGCTGGGACTATAGGCATCCGCCACCATGCCCGGCTCATTTTTTCTATATATTTTTAGCTGGGCAATTAATTTCATTGTATTTATAGTAGAGACGGGGTCTCTCGCTCTTGCTCAGGCTGGTCTCAAACTCCTGACCTTGAGCGATCCTCCCTCCTCGGCCTCCCAGAGTGCTGGGATTACAGGTATGCGCCACCATGCCCGGTTCATTTTTTCTATATATTTTTAGCTGGCCAATTAATTTCTTTCTATTTTTAGTAGAGACAGGGTCTCCCTCTTGCTCAGGCCAGTCTCGAACTCCTGACCTTGAGCAATCCTCCCTCCTCGGCCTCCCAGAGTGCTGGGATTACAGGCATGAGCCACCGCGCCCGGCTGGTTCTCTTTTATCTTAGAGGACCCCGATTCTTTTCTCTTGTACAAGGAATCAGTGTGCAAACATGGCAGAGGAGGTTCCAGGCTCGGGGAGGACCGCTGGCTGCAGGACTCGCCACTCCCACGGGGCTGAGGCTCCGACAGCCGCTCACTCTGCTCTGCTCTCCGGGCGCCTCCCGGCCCCAACCACTGCTGCCCACTGGCGCCTGGCCCAGGGGTGGTGGTGGTGGTGGTGGTGCGGGCCCTGCAGAAGCTGCAGGTGGCCCCCGGGGGGGGGGGCGCTGCCTGCCTATGGGGCCTCACCGCCTGACAGCCTGGGGACCCCCGGCAGGACGGCACGTGGGGACACGTGGGCTCAGGGGCGTCTTGCAGCCATCCGCGGACCTCTCAGAGCCCCCAGCTCCCTTCCTGGGGTCTGAGAAATGCCCCCCTGGGCGGGGCGGTCAGCCCAGCCACTCAGAGCTGGGCGCGGCTCCGGCTTTCTCTCCAGCTCGCGGGGTTCTGGAGGGAAGTCGGTGTGGCCTCGGACCAAAACCTGGCCCTGAAGGCGCCGAAAAGGGTGGAGGGCTTGTTCCTCACCCTGAGCGGGAGCAACCTGACCGTGAAGGCTGCATATAACAAGTAAGCGGCCTGGGCCCCGCCGGGAGGCAGAGGCAAGTGCGGCTGCGGCCCACACGCCTCAGTGGGACCTGGGCTGCGGGCCCCCCCTGGGTGGGACCTCCCCACGCCTACCTGCCTGGGACCTCGACCCCAGGGAAAGCCGGAACCCCGGGCTCCCGGACCTACATTTTCTTTCTTTTTTTTGAGACAGAGTCTCACTCTGTTGCCCAGGCTAGAGTGAGTGCCGTGGCATCAGCCTAGCTCACAACAACCTCAAACTCCTGGGCTCAAGCGATCCTCCTGCCTCAGCCTCCTGAGTAGCTGGGACTACAGGCATGCGCCACCATGCCCGGCTAATTTTTTCTATATATATTAGTTGGCCAATTAAATTCTTTCTATTTATAGTAGAGACGGGGCCTCGCTCTTGCTCAGGCTGGTCTCAAACTCCTGAGCTCAAACGATCCACCCACCTTGGCCTCCCAGAGAGCTAGGATTACAGGCGTGAGCCACCGCGCCTGGCCCTCTTTATATTTTTAGTTGGCCAATTAATTTCTTTCTATTTTTAGTAGAGACGATGGGTGTGGGGGGGTCTTGCTCTTGCTCAGGCTGGTCTCAAACTCCTGACCTTGAGCGATGGTCCTCCTGCTTCGGCCTCCCAGAGTGCTAGGATGACAGGCGTGAGACACCACGCCCGGCCCCAGACTTACATTTCCAAACATAATTTATAAAGGAGGAAAATGGGCCCCGGGCAGGTGACTCACTGCAGGTGACAGAGCCCCAGGGGAGAGGCCGGTGCAGCCCCCGCCCTGCCCTCTGCCTTCCCGGTCCTGCTCCAGACTCCGGGGTGCTCCAGGGGCTGCCTGAACCCTTCCCGAAGACACGCCCTGCTCTGGGAATGTGCCCAGCAGATGGGATGCAGACTGGGATTTCCCTGATGAGCACTTTGCTGCCTTTCAGCTCAGGAAGCTGTGAGACAGAAAACATAGTGGGCTCAGAAATAGACGTTTCAGGGAAATTTGCTTTTCCTGGTAAGTGCTGTTGCCCTGTTGCTACAGTTACAACCCTGGCGTCACACTCAAGAGCTTCACTAGGCCTTGTTGTTCCCCTTTCTGTTCCCTGTGCTGCTCCCCACTCTGTTCCCTGTGCTGTTCCCCATGCTGTTCCTGGTGCTGTTCCCCACGCTGTTCCTGGTGCTATTGCCTATGGTGTTCCTCTGGCTGTTCCCCTTGCTGTTCCCCATGCTGTTCCCTGTCCTTCGTGCCCCACACCCTCCCATCCTCTCTACAGCATGCTGGGTCACCCTTGGCCGGCTGCTCTGGTGTCCCCACCAGGGCACCATGGCAGGGCCTGGGCATGGGCTGGGGACAGCACGGAGCTGGACTCTGCAGGCCCTGGCCTCCGAGGTCCGCCCCTCAGGCGCCCGGAACCGCGGGAGGCCCCCACCAACCCGCGCTGGCTCCCAAAGGCCACAGGGAGATCCACGTGCTGGACACGGACTACCAGGGCTACGCGATCCTGAGGGTGTCCCTGCGCTGGAACAACAGGGACTTCCATGCCTTCAAGTACTTCAGTAAGCTCCCCCCGGGGTCTGCCCTGCCGCGCCCCCCCCCCCCCCGCCCGGGGACGGTCCACCCAGCCCCTGTGCCCCACAGCTCGGAGCCTGGAGGACGATGACCCGCCGGGGTTCTGGAAGTTCCGAGAGCTGACGGCGGACACTGGCCTCTACCTGGCGGCCCGGGCCGGTGAGACAGGGGGCCGCTGGGGCGGGTGCTTTGCGGGGCGCAGTGGGGGAGGGGTGGGTCGGGTCCCGCCAGCCACTCACCCGCCCTGTCCCGCAGGGAGGTGCGCCAAGCTCCTGAAGCAGGTGAGCCCTCGGCCCCTAGCTGGCTCCCCCGCCCCCGCCCCCGGCCTGAGGCGGGAGGACTCGTTTGCCCCTGGCTCTGAACGGGACGCCCCCGGCACCGATGGGGACCCCTAGATGGAGCTGGAGCCTCCAGGGCGCTGGGCCCTGCTGGGGACGCTGGGTGCTGGGAGGTGGAGGGTGCAGAGGGCGGGGAAAGGGGTGGCCCCGACTTTCTGTCCAGCAGAGCCACACTGGGCTGCGGCCGGCTCCGCCCCTGTGGGGTCTGCCAGAGGTCGGATGGGGCCCTGGGGGGGCCGTCTCGGGGCCCGGCGTCTGGCGCTGTGCTGGCCCGTCACCTCCACCGGCCCCCGGAGGCGGGGACTGTCACCCCACCGTGCAGATGGAGGAGCGGCGGCTCAGGCAGCTGGGCGCTCTGCCCAGAGCCAGGTGGCTGCACACGGCCAGGCACGCGGCTCCCACTGCCCACAGGCCCCAGGGCCGAGCGGGCTGAGCCTGCCCTCTCGCCACAGGAGCGGATTTAGCAGAGCATCCGCTGCAGGACGGTGCCCGAGATGCACCGACCTCCGCCCCCCCCGCCTCTCCCGGCCCCTCTGAGAGGCTCCTGCACCTGCTGTGAATAAACTGTGCCACCAAAGCCACAGCCCGCGTGTCCTTCCAGGGGATGTGCCCAGGGAGGGTGGCAGGGCGGTGGGGGACTCACGACGGGTGGGTGTCCCGGGGCGGGGTGGCCTTTGCCGGGAGCTCGATGGGGCCAGGTGCGTCACGTGTAAGAGCCGGTGGAAGCTCGGGCGCTCTGTTCATGAGCAGAGAACTCGTCTTTTCCTTCCTTGGGCACGGGATTCTCCACGCCCAGACCGCGCAGGTGCCGGCCGCGCCCCGAGATCAGGACACGGGCACGCAGCCTGATGGGGGACCCGAGACCCCGACTCCGTCCCCCTGTCCCTGGACTTCGTGTACGGAGCAGGAGCTCCAGGGCGAGGTGGCTGCCGTCAGCACAGCCCAGGGGGCAGCGGGGCAGACGCGGGCGGAACGTGGGGCCACACGCCGTCGGGGGCGAGGCAGAGGAGCCGGGGCCCTCGGGGCGGCCCCCGAGTAGCTGTCCCCCAGCTCTTGGGAATGAGGGAAGACGGGAAGCTGCTCCCGCAGCCAGCGGATCTGAACTGCCCCCTGGCTCCTCGTCTGTGTCACCTGGCTGCTCCCTGGGGACCGGGGACCCCACCTGTCACCGGGGTGTCCCTGAGGACTCCCCCACCCCCACTCTGTCCCGCTCTCTGTCCTTCTCTCTGTCCCCCCCACCATGGCTGCTCTGTCTATGTGTGCCGAGAGCCACCGTCCTGCACTCCGTGGGTAGAGTAAGGACTAGGTGTCACTTGGGGGGCTCAGGGGTGTCTGATCCCAGGCTCCCAGCCCCCTCCCCGCCATTCTGGGCCCTGGAGGGCTGGGGGCCCCCTCCGGCCAGGTGCTCTGTGCCTCCGCCAGACCCCCACGCCCACGGGGCGAGGTGGGGCCTGGACCGCACACCGGGGCCAGTGCCGTCCACCGCATGCGGCAGCCCGTGACGGGCACGACTGAACACACGCATGAGTAACTGGGTGGACGTCCAGCGTCTGTCCCGGAGGCTCCTGGAGGCCCTGGCCACCTGGCAGGTGGGCGGGCCGCCGGCCGGCCCTCGGTGTGCTGCCAGCGGCTTAATGGGAGCTGCCCGTGCCGCAGCCTCGCCCACGGTGGGGTATAAAGTGCGCCCGGGCCGGGGCCGTGGCCGAGGCCCCTGTGCTTTGGGAGCATGGAGGGTCCCGTGCTGGCCCTGCTGGGGCTGTGCGTGGCGCTGGGCAGCGCCGGCACACGGGACACGGGGATCAAGGACCTGGACCTCTTCCAGGTAGCGCAAGTCCCCGAGGATCAGGCGCTGCCCCGCTGCCCGGGAGGCTCTCAGGACCTGGTGCCTCTGGGGCCTTCGGCTGTGTGGGGGGACCGAGGCTGCCCCGGAATTTTCCCCAAGGGCCCCGATCCTGGACGCAGTGTGGCCAGGCGGCCCCGCAAACGCCACCCCTCAGTTTTCAGGCCTCTGGTACGAGATCGCCTTCGCTGCCACGAGGGGCGTGCACGGCGCCCGCAGCAAGGTGGGGAAGACAGGCGCCGTGGTGGTCGACCTGGAATTGAACGGCCTGGCCCTGATCAGCGCGTATTTCGAGTGAGCCGGCCGGGCGGGGCGACGGGGGGCAGGGGCCCTCCCTCTGGGGTCTCTGCTCACTGGGGGTTGGCCTGGCCTGCGGGCAGAGAGTCCCCAGAGCAGGACACGATCTTGCCTCTGGGGACGCCCCTTGGTGTCTCCTGAGGCAGTTTCAAGGGGTGACCTACGACCTCAGGGACAGTGTAGGGTGCGGCACCACCTCCAATGTTCACTGTGCCGCCCGCGAGGCTGGGGAGGTGGCGGCCATCCCCGCAGGCCTGTGTGTGACTGGGGCGGAGCCTGGCCAGACCCCCGGTGTGCACTTTCCACCTGCGGCCACACCTGGGGCCTGGCCTAGTCCGCCTGGTTGTGTGTCTGGGAGGTGGCTCATTGCACCGGCCGGGGAGCCCGTCACCCGCATCTGCTCCCTGGGGGCAGCTTCCCACCAGGCTCGGTTATGGCTGGGCGAGGTCCTGCCGCCGGGTGTCAGCAGGTCCCGACTCTGGGCCCGTCCTCCTGCTGGGTGGGGCTGAGGGCAGCTGGTGGCAGGCGTGTCCTTGTCCTTCCAGAGGGGGCCAGTGTATGAAGGAGAATGACGGGGCTAGGCAGGTGGGCTACACGGGGAGGTTTGTGTTCCCAAAACCGTCTGGTAAGTGCCGCCAGGGGCTGGGGGCTGGTGGGGTGCGTCTTCGGGCTGTGCCGGGTCCTGCTCTGGGACTGTGTCCCGCCCGCTTACGGCTGCCCTGAGCAGGAGGGCCTGTCCCCTCCTGCGAGGACCCGGCCCCCGTGGGCGCCGTGTGGACGCCCGGCTAGGAGTCCTCACGTGCAGTCCCCAGCGCCAGGCCTGCCATGCCCGGTGCCCAGCGTCTCCTCCTCTTTCGAATGCTAGAAAATGTTTGTGGAGGCGTCTATGTGTCCTGGTCAATGAGAGTCCCTGTCCCCTATCCTTAGGGAGGTCCTTTCAGAGAACCAGAGGCCCATTTGAGCTGTGTGCATGCTTGTGCTTGTTTGTGCATGCCTGTGTATATGTGTGTATATGTGCATATGCGTATGTATGCGTGTGTATACATGTGTATGCATGTGTATGCGTGTGTATACGTTTGTATGCATGTGTATACGTGTGTATGCATGTGGACACGGGCCAGGCAGGAGTGTGCCTGGGGCCGAGAGCCCTCACTGCTGCAGGACTGGGCGTGGCAGCCCCACCGGGGCTGGGACTCAGTGGGCGGTGGCCCCGCAGGGGACAAGGAGGTGCTCGTGATGGACACGGACTACAAGACCTACGCCATCATGGACGTGTCGTCCAACAAGGACGCAACTCCCCATAGGATCTTGAAGCTGTACAGTAAGCCGGGGCTGGACTGGCAGGGCCGTGGGGACTTCGCCTCTGAGAGGGGACAGGACGGAGCCCCGAGGCCAAGGCAGGCCCCAGCCAGCCTAGCGCCCACGCTCGCCCCCAGGCCGGACCCTGGATGGCAATGAGTATGCCCTGGGGAAGTTCCAGCAGCTGGCCCAGCAGAGCGGGCTCCTCAGCACGGACGTCCACCTACTGGAGCGAGACCGTGAGTGGCCGCCCAGGGAGGGTCGGGCACAGACCTGGCCTTCCCTCCCCACGCCTCACCCCTGCGCTTCCGCCCACAGTGACCTGCGTGAAGCTGCTGCAGCGTGTGAGTGCACCCTGTCCCTGAGCCGGGGGCTGCTCTGGGCACCCGGGGGAGGGTCCTCTGGGGACCTGTGACAGGGCCGAGCTGAAGGGGTCTGGGGTCCTCGGCGTGCCGGCCCAGTGTGGCAGCCACGCTCACTGGCGTGGGGAGACCGGGATCCGGGGAACAGAGCCAGCCTCGGGGTCCGGTGTGTGCTCTCGGGGCCGGCTCCACCTCCAGCCACAGTGGCTGGGCTGGGTCCTGCCATTGGTCCGTCCAGCCCCTCACCCGCCCTGTCCCACAGGGAGGTGCGCCAAGGTCCTGAAGCAGGTGAGCCTTGGCCCCTAGCTGGCTTCCCGACCTGGCCTGGGGTGGGAGGGCCCGTTCGGCCCTGGCTCTGAACAGGACGCCCCCTGGCACCGATGGGGACCCCTAGATGGAGCTGGAGCCTCCAGGGCGCTGCTCCCAGGCTGGGACGCAGGGTGCTGGGAGGTGGAGGGTGCAGAGGGCTGGGGAAGGGGTGGCCCCGTGGCCCCGACTTTCTGTCCAGCAGAGCCACACTGGGCTGTGGCCGGCTCCACCCCTGCAGGGTCTGCCCGAGGTCGGGTGGGGCCCTGGGGGGCCGTCTCGGAGCCCCGCGTCTGGCGCGCTGTGCTGGCCCGTCACCTCCACCGGCCCACGGAGGCGGGGACTGTCACTCCACCGTGCAGACGGAGGAGCGACTCCCACTGCCCACAGTCCCCGGGGCGGAGCGGGCTGAGCCTGCCCTCTCGCCACAGGAGCAGATTTAGCGGAGCTTCTGCTGCCGGATGGTTGCCAAGACCCGCCCCTCCCCCTCCCCCTCCCCCTCACACGCCTGCCAGGCGACCCCGAGCACAAATGATATGCCCTGCGGGAAGTTCCAGGAGCTGGCCCAGCCAGAGCGGGCCTCCTCCAGCACAGACTCCACCTACTGAGCCGAGACCGGTGAGTGGCCGCCCAGGAGGGTCGGCACAGACCTGGACCCTCCCTCCCCAACGCCTCACCCCTGCGCTTCCGCCACACGTGACCTGCGTGAAAGCTGCTGCAGCGTGTGAGTGCACCCCTGTCGGGGAGGGACGAGGGGGAGAAGGGCAGGCGGTCTGGCAACCATCCGGCAGCACGAAAGGCTCCGGCTAAATCTGCTCCTGTGCAGCGAGAGGGAGGCTCAGGCCCGCTCCGGCCCGGGGACTGTGGGCAGTGGGAGTCGCCGTCCTCCGTCTGCACGGTGGGACAGTCCCCGCCTCCGGGGCCGGTGGAGGTTACGGGCCAGCACAGCGCGCCAGACGCGGGCTCCGAGACGGCCCCAGGGCCCCACCCGACTCGGGCCAAAGACCCTGCAGGTGGTGGAAGCCGCGGCCACAGCCCAGTGTGGCTTGCGTGCGACAGAAAGTCGGGGCCACGGGGCCACCCCTTCCCAGCCCTCTGCACCCTCCACACTCCCGCACCCCTGCCGTCCCCAGCCTGGGAGCAGCGCCATGGGCTCCAGCTTCCTCTAGGGGTCCGCCATCGTGCCAGGGGGCGGTTATTTTTTTTTTCCGCTGTTCAGAGCCAGGGCCGAAGCGGGCCCTGCCACCCCCAGCCAGGTCGGGGAAAGCCAGGCTAGGGGCCAAGGCGTCACCTGCTTCAGGACCTCTAGGCCGCCCCTCCCTGTGGGACAGGGCGGGTGAGGGGCTGGACGGACCAATGGCAGGACCCAGGCCCAGCCACGTGGCCTGGAGGTGGAGCCGGCCCTGAGGCCACACACGGGACCCGGAGCGGCTGGCTTGTTCCCCGGGATCCCGGTCTCCCACTCCAGTGAGCGTGGCTGCCACCTGGGCCGGCACGCGAGGACCCCAGACCCCTTCAGCTCGGGGCCCTGTCACAGGTCCCCAGAGAGGGACCCGGTCCCGGGTGCCAGAGCAGGGCCCCCGGCTCAGGGATCCAGGGTGGCACCTGCCCGGCTGCAGCAGCTCCACGCAGGTCACTGTGGTTCAGAAGCGCGGGGTGAGGCGTCGAGGGCAGGCCGCGGTCTGTGCCGCCCTCGCTGGGCGGCCCCACTCACCGGTCTCGCTCCAAGTAGGTGGACGTCGTGCTTGCGGGAGCCCGCTCTGGCTGGGCCAGCTGCTGGACTTCCCGCAGGGCATACTCATTGCCATCCAGGGTCCGGCTGGGGGCGGGTGGGCGGCTAGCTGGTGGGGACTGCCTTGGCCTCGGGGTCCGTCCTGTCCCCTCTCAGAGGCGAAGTCCCCACGGCCCTGCCAGTCCAGCCCCTGGACTTACTGTTACAGCTTCAAGATCCTATTTGGGGAGTTGGTCCTTGTTGTAGGACCAACGTCATGATGGGTAGGTCTTGTAGTCCGTGTCCATCCGAGCACGCTTTCTTGCTCCCCTGCGGGGCCACTTTTTGTTTCCACTGCGATGTCCTTTTTGCCGGTGGGGGCTTGCCACGGCCCAAGTCCTGGCAGATGAGCTCTCGTTTTTTTTTTTGTTGGTCTTCCAGGCTTTTTTTTGTTCTGGACCGTGTCCACATGCATACACACGTATACACATGCATTTTTTAAACGTATACCCACACGCAAGTACACATGCATACCACATGTTTAATACACACGCTACAGTACGCATAGATGCACATATAACACAACATATACCACAGGCATGCACAAACAAGTCACAAGACTGCACACAGCTCAAATTGGCCTCTGGTTCTCTGAGAAGGAACCTGGCCCTAAGGATAGGGGACAGGGGGACTCCTCATTGGACCAGTGTGCTTTTCTGTTGTGTGTGGGAGACGCTTGGGACGGCATGGCAGGCCGCTGGCGCTGGGGTGCACTTTGAGGACTTCCTGCCGGG